TATATATATATAAAATCCCAACATTTTACTATGTTCTAAGCCATTAGTTAGCTAAGGTCAAGACTGATAGTTAACATGAGTATAGTAATTTCAGTTGAAGTTTAAAAGCCTATTAGAGAGTTTTTAAATTAATTATTTTTTAAAAAAACCCTTCTACATCTGTATAATTAATGCCAACAGCAGATTAAATATGCACGCACACTTTTATCTCTTATAATTCAAATGTGCAAACTCAGAAGAACTATGCGAGAAGAGTCAGCATAGGTAGGAGAGCTGATCCTATGGATTTATCCCTAGGATGTTATATTCCTCTAAAGAGAAAACTAGCCAATGATCCAGAGACATTCAGCAGTTCTCTGTGTGTATTTCGTTAACTGCCACCTCAGCCACTTTCCACCTCTGCTTGTACGTGGCTTCATGCTATACAATTAATTATCTCAGGAACACTTTCATTTTTTCTTTTCAAAAAGTCTGTTCTACTCTCCAAGCATCGGATTGTGCAAGTTTAGGCCAATCATCCTTTAATTTCCATGTTAATTTCCAACATGATATTAACACCTTCGCAATTACATTTCAGAAAAACACAGTTCACTTGGCAAGCAGTTTCACCAATGGTTATAAACCAATCTTATTAAGAGAGGTATCTTTTGAAATCAGAAAGTAACAGTGCTTCCAGCTGAAACAACAACAACAAAAAAACCTAACACCATGTTTACTTGAAAGGAGGACGACCCTGAATATCAGACCATGCCCCTAAAAGAGAGAGAAGGCTACATATAAACAGGTGACCTTGAATTTAACATAAGGCCGGCCACCAGCCAGACCTGTCCTCCTCCACCCCACCCCCATGCTCCAAGCCCCACCCCACCCCAGCTGCAAGCTCCAGAGGGCTCTGTTGTCACGTGCCTCCTGGCAAGAAGACATCAATCAGCATGACACAGCTGCTGGAGGGGAGGCTCTCTCCCCCCCCCACTCTCCCTGCTCAGAGTGCAGCCAGAGAGGCTCTCTCCCTCCAAGCTTTGTGGCCTGAGACAGGAAGTGTGAAGGGATAGAGTGCACCAGCAGCACTTCTATGCTGTGTGACCGACCAGCATGCCTCTCTCGGCAGGCACAGCACAGGGGCATTCCAGGCTGTGGGAGTGACAGGCCGACTCAGCAGACCCGCCAAGTCACAGCGAGGGGGACACCTTTACATAACTTTGTATCTGCACTTAAGGCAACCAACCCCTTTTAAAGTTTAAAACGGGGGGGTTGTGTCCTTACTTATAGGGTTGCCAACCTCCAGGTGGGGCCTGGAGATCTCCTACTCTTACAATTTATCTCCCGAAGACATAAGTCAGTTCCTGGGGAGAAAAATGGCTGCTTTGGAAGGTGAACTCTACGGAATTGTACCCAGCTGAGGTCCCTCCCCTCCCCTCCCCTGCCCAAACCCCACCCTCCCCAGGCGCCACTCCCAAAATCTCCGGGAATTTCCCAACCCACAGCTGGCAACCCTACCTACTTATAACGACTCTAAACATACTTCTGGGTATGTTATTTAAAAAAACAAAACACCTCTGTCCTTTTGGTCATAGCCCACCAGGGCTTTGCATGGCTTTGGAAACCCCTGCAAGTTCACAAAGACCTGGCCAGCTGCAGTTTGCAGTCAGGGATCTGCATGCCAGGAAGCCATTTTCTAGCTGTTGGGGCCTGGCCACCTGGCCAGGCTGGACTGCAGCAGCCCACAGAAAAGAAGGCCAGCGGCTGCAACGTGCCCCTAGATAGTCAGTAAGTCAGGTCTTCCTTCCCTTTTTTCTTTAAAAAATGTTTACCTTATTTCCTTGGCTGCAATTCTGTTCTTGGTGTTTTAATACCATTAATAGGCTGTTAAAGAAAAGCTGTGTTCAGATCTGTGGGAGGTTCTACCTAATCTTATCTCATTCTACTTTTATGCCTTAAATCTTTTTCATCCACGTCACCTAGGAAGTATATGCTAACTTTTCAGGGGAGTGGGGTGGGGGTTTAGACCTAATCTGGATCTCTCCCATAGTACTGAAAAGGTCCACTGCTTGCTAACCTAGTATGTGGTGGCAGCTCCTTTAGTGTGAACTAGGCCCCAGTGGTGAACCTGGGGGGGGGGGAGTCACACATCCAATTTGATTTGCCAAGTTACCCCCCAGGGGATGCTAAGGTAAAGAGATGGAAAAGGGCTCTCCAAAGGATCTCAGAGAGGTAAAAATTAAACAAGCAAACTGAATGCATCACCTTTTGTGATGACATCATAAAACATCCAAATGAACATCAAAAAATATTCTGCCTTCTTATACTTCATATCTCAGTTGGTAGGATATGATGGAGGGGGGAAATGGTCCAACTCCTGGGAACAAAGATCTTACCATCCACCAACAAGGAAAAAGAGCCCAGTCTTGGCACCAAAACATGCCCATGACGACCTCTACAGCGCAACTCTAAGCAGAGTTACACCCTTCTAAGCCCACTGACTTCCATGGACTTAGAAGGATACGAATTCTGTTTAGGACTTCAGTGTTTACCACACACTTGCACAGGCATGCCTTTGCAGAACATAATAAGCCATCCAGCCTGTTGACAACTTACTGTCCATCTGGTGAAATATTAATTCCATTGGCAGAGTAAAATCCTGATGCCACTTCCCTAACTTCTTTTGGGCTGTAGTAGATAACGTTTGTCCAGGATAAACCCAGAAACATCTCCAAGAACATCAGGGACAGCCCTGTGAAATAATGATCGTTGGTGGCATAGAAACTGTCTGGACTCAGAGCCACAATATCATTCACGCTGCAAGGAAGAGGCAGAGAAGAAATCCAAAGATGCATATCAGTGGCTGTATAGGGTACATTGTGTTGCTCTAACATGACTTGTACTTGTTCAAAGACTGTTCTATAAATAATATGGATAGAAAAATGGATATAGTTGTCCAGAACTGCTTCAATCTTAGTGCTTTCTAACTTCATGCCTTGAAATGATATATGGTAAAATTATGTAAATGCTCAGTGCATTTTAGAAAATGCATTCCCAATTACTCTGCATTCCCCAACGAACAGAAAAATCTAACATTATATACCTTCCCAGAAGTTCATGCTTGATTGTTTTAAGATGCACAAGAGAATTATCATCCTCCACATATTTAAACAGCTCCACCGTTGATGTGTACTGTGGATGGTTTACAACAAAGAGGTACACGGAATCATCTAGGGACAGTGAAGGGAAAAAATTCAAGTGAGACTGACAAAGCCAACAGGGAAGTCTGAATGACCTCTGAATGACCTCTGCATGGAAAAAAATTAAGCAATTCTCAGCATTGTCCCTTTAACCTCCTACTTTACCTGAGAAGCAGCAACCTCATAAAGGAACCCTGGCAGCCGCTAAGAACTGGGGTGAGTATGCTTCTCCTCTGCTTGCATTTTGTTTTTAAATTAGCTGCTTAATTTATATTTTGGTATTTTTCTGTAGGTTACTTTGGGAGGAAAAATACCATACAGATGCCCTACATAAAATAAGGCAAATTTACAGATCTGTCTTCCATGCATCCATCCTAACAAATCCCTGTGCTCAGAAAACCCCAGACACACTGTGCAGATTTCTAGAGTGGAGTTTCTGCTTTGCCTCTGAATGCACAAAGGCCTTGAATATGCCAAAATATGTACAGGTCAAAGCAAGCCATTGCGTGGGGCAGCAATAGGTTAGGGATGCTACTGAAGCACTCTGTAAAGTGAGAGAAGAGAAAAGCCAGGACTAGTCCTTCAGGCAGCAGAAAGATTCAAGCTGTGCTTCTGTTCTGATGATAAATCAGAAACCAGAAAAACTCCCATACCAATGAGGTTTCCAGAACGCAACCTGGAGATCTGCCCTGTCCTTTGTAGTCTAGTGGGAGGTGTAAACAGCCAGCCCTTTCCTGCCCATTCCTCTCACTGGTTCCTGCCTTCTCCGCCTTCAGTACCAAGGACTCCAGAACCTGCACAGGACTGGAAGGGAGACGCCACATCTGCTGTGTCCTGGGGCTTCAGTCAATCTCAAGAGGGATGACCTGACAGCCATACAGACAACCACTTGCTGAGTGGGTTCAGACGGGGCATTTTCAACGGTATAGGTGCCGGTTGGAATGGGTTCACACGTACAACATCTGCCTTCCGTCCCTAACTGTTGCAAAGAGCTTTAAACCAGTGTATTCTGCCACTAGGTCCCCAAGTGGTGGTATCCTGAGTGCACCGGTTGTAGCCGCTTTACTCCCCATCTGATCGCTTTCCACCGTTGTAGAGCCACTTCCGTTCAGAAGCCTGAGGCTTCCGCTTTTCGCCCACCATTTTTTTTGTTAGGTCAGCGATATGCGCTTGGCCCAAGCTTCGCCCTGGCGTTTGTTTTTTTAAAAAAGAAAAAAGGTCCTTTGTTTAAGGTTTTAGAGGAGTCCGGGACCTCAGGGAGGCCAGTTTGGTCTTAAAACTTTAAAGGTAAGTCCTCTCTTCAGGGCATGCTTTTCGGGACGGGGTGTTTTGCGCATGTGCAAAGATGACCATTCTGTGGATGGCTGCCTATGCGCATGTGCAAACTAAGTTAAAAAAAAACCCCGCCTATGCCCGCTGTGTGTGAACGGGCATACAGCGATGGCCTCCGCAGACAGGAGGTAAGTGTGATCGCGTTTCAGCTGGCATAAACTGCACTGGTTGAAATGCCCCGTCTGAATGAACCCGCTGTGTGTGTGTTAATACCATGGTCCCCAGCCAACAGTGTTGCCAACAGGCCTAGAGGAAAGGTCCCATCCCTTTAATAGAGGCTAAATGTATAGACATGGGCAACTGATGCTTTTGCATGGCACGGAGGTAAATAACATTCCATTAAGCCTCTATTAAAGGGACAGGACATTTTCTCTCTCCAAGCAGTTAGCAACCTTATGAGCCAAAGTAAAGCACTTCTGAAGTCCCATTGATTCCAGTTGGAAAGTTTAGCACAGAAGGACCAGGAACGTTGAGTGACACATCTCAATGCTGTAGCCTTTTTTCCCTAATAGACGTTCTACTTACCATCCCCAATGTACGTGCTCATTCCATGGGGGTTGAAAGATGCCAGATCAAACCCACGGCTAATTCTGAGCTCCACTGGTCGAGGGTTTTGTTCATTTAGATCTATCAACAGTATTTCTCCTCTTTTATCCGGTGCAAAGCTCTGTATCCCCGGGTATTTCAAACCCTTTAAAAACAAATAAAGAAGGTCTCTTTTCACACGGCAGTTAAGGATATTCCACCAAGAGTGTGCAGATCAACAGTTTGCCATGAGATAATGCACACATGCTTCATGCCAGTTGCCATTATCTTAAGCACATTAATAAGGTCATCTATGGCTGCTGCCACACACGCTAAGTAATCCACTTTCAATCCACTTTCAGTGCACTTTCAAAGTGGATTTTGCCAGTTCACACAGTAAAACTCCGCTTTGAAAGTGCACTGAAAGTGGATTGAAAGTGGATTACTTAGCGTGTGTGGCAGCAGCCAAAGTTCAAGGAAGGAATGAGGGAAAGTCTCTACGGATGTGAAAATCCCCCCCCCCCAGGTACTCCACAGCCTTCTAATAATGATCAGTTGAGACAACCCAAGACTCTAGCAGTTCTATGGAACTCCGTTGGTCTCTGCTTCTTCTGTTGCCTTGATATTCACAACAAATAAATACTTCACCTTCACAACAGAACCACTCTGTCACTGAGGACAAAAGATTGAGTGGAGCATCCCACAGCCCATGGGAAAACACAGGCATGAGCCTTCATGGTATCCCTGGATGACTTCAGCCCAGTCTCATGACATTTAGCCACACAGCCATATGCAGTACTGACTCAGGGGCTGCCTTGTAGTTTTTGGGGCCCTGGGCAAAAGTCCTGGCTGGGGCTCCTGCCACGCCCACAGCACCATGTCAAAGCAAAGTCTTGGACTTCATCCTATGTGAGGTGAGCAGGAGCCCCCACTGCCGCCAGAAGCCAGAAGCCAGCTGCCCAAGCCCCAGCTCAGGTGGGCACAAGCAGGCAGCTGCTCTTCTTCTTTCCCCCCCTCTTCAGGGGGACAGGGCTGTGGGTGGTAGGCCACATCCCCCCCAGTGTAGGGTCCAGGGTAGCTGCCTGTTGCCCATTGGCTAGGACCGCTCCTGCACTGACTCCTAAACTGACAAAATTTAACAACGGAACTGACCCACAGGCCCAATTCTTGCTGCTTTTTGTCCTCAGCCTGCACTTGCATTGCAATGGGTTCCATCAAATTACAGACTAGAGACAGAGCTGGCCTGCAACTGGTAGCCTTTCCCTGCACTCTAATGCAGTAGCAGTACTCACAGAACTAATGAAAGCCAGGCCGTTAGGAAGTATCTCGATATCTTCTGAGCCCGTCTCTGCAAAGAAAAGGAAAATCTTAATCAGAAACAGATTTGGGAGGCATCGACATAATGGAATTAAAGACTGTTTTTTTAAAATGTAGCACTGTTTTTTTAATCACCGGCAGAAAGCCTATTTATTAACTCCAAAACCCGTTCTGGTAAACAACAAAACTCTGCTTAGGTTCTTTCATATGTGGCTCATCCCAACTTGTAGAACTTCACACACTTAATTTTTGTTTACAGCATCCACCCTTCTTTCTCTCTCCCTTGCTGTGTCCACCTTCATTTCCTTTGCCTTTCACTATTTTTCTTTTGCCTTACAACTTCTTTTTTACCCTTTCACCTAAAGCAAAGCAATGAGGCTATGAAATCTCTGGCTAGAAAACAGGAGCTAGACAAGGTTCTGAGGCACAAGCCATTGAGATGCTCATTTTCTATTGGTATCCAAAGAACATCACCTCCGTTCCAGCCTTGGCCCTTCTCTTTCATGCCTGAGGAAGAAAACAAGTCAGTGTGCCACAGCTCCAGCCTTTGAAAAGCTTTCTGAAACAACTGACAAGAGACTTATGGCCCCATTTTATAGGAAAGGAATCAATGCTTTGGGTTTTGCCAACAAAAAAAGAAACGGGCACCCAAATAAGTCTGATGCTAATTATTTAAAAATTACTCCAGTGTTTCTTATTGACAAGGATGATTCTCTGTATAACCAGTTTGCCACACAGAAACTTTTGGAATGATTTTAAATTCAAACTTGGTACAAAGAGGTTTTCCCCTAGTAACTGAACCAAACTGTGGACACCACTGTGTCATACAACGACAGCTTAAAGGGAACTTCTGTCTGATCCACACACAGAAAGATCCTCCTCCGTTCCAACGCCCTCTCCTCCCTCACTTTTGTTAGAATGAAACACAGGAGGAAAAAACTGGTTGGCATTTTACCGTCTTAGATACATCTCATTTCTCTAGTGAACTCTGCCTGCCAATAGCCTCCACCCAGCATAATCTGCCATTGCATGAAATATGTTACCAGGAGATACACAGCTGAGGGTGTGCCCCACACAAAGGCTTTAAGCTGGTATTTCAACTGACACAAAGGGGAAAATGTTTACAGCTTTCTTATTTCCCTGGATGGCAAGCTATGAAAATGAAATAAGGCTTCATTTGTCATACATAGCTGGTCTACAAACAAGATGCCTGCTCTTTTCTGTACAGTCTCTAAAATTGTTATTTAAAGCTACTGCATTTATTAAAGACCCTTCAAAAATAAACCACAACACAAATATGGATAAACAATTTTTTCCTCTGAAACAGCAGATCCAGAGGTGGAAATCCCCAGGACCTTGTTCCAGCAAAGCATGCAATATTACCTACCAATTCCTTTAATAAGCTGGCAGCTAGTCAGCCGCTTTGGTTTTAGTTCACGAGAGGCATTCATTCGGTTTCTGCAAGGGAAAAGGGCAGTAGTGAGTATTTTGTCAGAGCTCTGCAGCACTGTTATTGGCTGGAATAACTCTCTATTTAACAACAGAACAATTGGACAAATGGGAAAAAACCCATATAATGCACATGGTAAATTCCAGTCCAGAAATGGAGGAGAGGAGACCCATGTAAGCTGCTTTGGGTCTCGGGGTGGGTGGGTGGAGTGAGGTATAAACAAAGCAAATATCTTGCCCTGAGCCTTTCAGTGAACTAGTGAAAGTATCGCTGTATCAGTGCTCCAGATCAAATATTAGGAAGTACAACTGTACCATGGAAACTAACTTGGAAGCAAGAAGCACATGAGGAGATTGTTAAACCCTTTGCACCTCACCTTAAGGTCACCGGGGGGGTGGGCTAGCTTCAATACCAATATCACACATGCAAGTAAGGACAGGGGTGGATGGCTCTGCCACTTGGCCTCAATGGTATACTTCTTCTGCTGTTGCCACACAGGCCTCTGAGTCCAGGATGGGCACCTGAGGAACATCTTGGAAAATGGAAGTGGCACTTGGATACTGTTGCTGGTCAGGAGACCACTGGCCTTTTGCATGCACGGACTGCATCTTAGCATAGGCCCACTGCAGTTTTTGATCATCCCATTTACAGGAACTAGCCAGAGACCATTCAGAGGAAAGCCGGGGGGGGGGGGACAGATTAAAGGTGCAATCTTGCACTCACTTGCATGTATATGTACAGTTTCATTGAGTTGCAGATGACTTATGGTGCAGAGATGAACAGAGGTGGTTTGCCATTGCCTGTGTCTGTGTAGCAAACCGGGCTTCCTTGGCAGTCTCCTATCCAAGGCCCTCTTTAGCATCCAAGATCTGATGAGATCCGGCTAGTCTGGGCCAGCTCAGTGCACGAATTTATTGGGGAGTTCTGTCCCCAGTGGACCCAAGAGGAACTTCCATCTGAGCAAACACACAGGACCGGCTTGGGCAGGTTTCCGCACACATGACCTTCCCATAGAATGTTTGACTTGTTGCACAAAAGATGAAAGGAAGACTTCTCAAATATTTGGAGAGATTACCAAAGCAGACAGACAGAAGAATTTCTTACCGGAACATTTAAGGTGGAACTATTTATAAAATGTAAAAGTGTTTGTTTGTTCTTGGTAGAACCCAGTTTGACAGGACAGTGGGGAAATAAAGAAGATCCACTTAACTCTCTTACTTCAGGTCCTTTCCATACCCCAAACCACCCCACAACAGCTTCACTTGGGAAAAGTTACTAACATTCATATCCCCCCCCCCCCCAACATGGGTAAAAGAAGTTTTGAGATGGTGATTTTCCATGGAGAAAAGGTATGAAGAGAAACAGTCCCTCTTCTCCTGTAAAACTGCAGTGGCAGCAGATGCATTCTGTTTAGAAGGCCTCATGCAAAATAATCCCAGAACTAAATGTACTGAGTAGTTTACCTTATCACTTATGGCACCATCCGTGGGGGAGATCTCCTGCAAAGGCCTCATTCGTAGCCTTGAGCGGCTTCCATTAATTTTAGCAAAGCTTATGCACAAGGTCTTTCCAGGGAATTGTGTTGAGAGAAACCCAGAAATAGTTCTAACAGGGAAAGCTATACTTTCAAAATTGATATGGTTCAGTCTAGGGCATCTTGTCCTTGCAGAAAGATGGCCTAGAAGGCCTACAAGCTATCATCCAGTTATATGGTTTAGTTAAAACACATGCGGCTCTACAGATGCATCAGTGTCTTCAGTTACAAGAAACACTGATCTATAACTTCAGAATCGTCACCCGGACTTCCTAAAAACCCATCCACTTAAAATATCTGAAATGTATTCCTAGAGAAACCAACACACTGTTTTAATTTATGGCTGTTCACCTCTCAAAACAATTTGGGACTATCTTTGTGGAACTCAAAAATTTACTCCCAGATTCCTAGTAGAGCATGCAGAATTAAGCCCTGTGTTATATACAGTGGGACTTACTCCAATGAAAGTGTCCTTTGGACTGCAGCACCTCTGGACAGTGAATTGCCTTTCTCTATTCCATTCAAGAGCCTTCCCCTCCCTCTGCTTTCAGCCCTTCTCACCTCTAACTTGGTTGCACGAACACATGAAGCTGCTGTATATCGAGTCAAACCATTGGTCTATCAAGGTCAGCACTGTCTACTCTGACCGGCAGGGACTCTCCAGGGTCCCAGGCAGAGGTCTTTTACATCACCTCCTGCCCATTCCTTTTGACTAGAGATGCCAGGGACACCCCGCCACCACCATGCAAAGCAGATGCTCTACCACCGAGCTACAGCCCCACTTTTCTGGGCCTGAGACTTTAGAGAAGACAGATCAAAGGTCTGCCCCTGCACAAGTAATACTCAGCTAACATATTTTTACAAGCTTGTAACTCATTTTGGCCCCTAGGCTACACCCATGCCAGTTTTTGAGAGTCAGCCATAGCTCAGTGGGGGAGCCCCTGACCTGCACAGCAAAAGTCCCTGGCTTAATCTCCAGCAGCATTTCCAGTCCTCAAGTGGTGGGTCTGGGGAAAGACTCCTGGCCTGCCTGAGTCCAGAGATCCTCTGGGGCAGTCAGATCAGCGTATGTAGCCCTATTTTGCAAGCAGCTTGACGTGCTGCCAACTTGGGATCAGTTACACCATCAACTCCCTCTTGGGTTGTCTTGGCTCCTTCTCACTTCACCCCATCGCAGGCCTGAATCCCTTCCCTGCTCCCTCTCCGGAAAGCACACTTCTTAAGTTCTTAACCCCCTGCTATCATTAATGAGACTTTCCTCAAAGCCCCTCCCCCTAGACCCACTCCTGAAGCCCACGCTTCCCAAGCCTCGCCAGGTAAAGTCTTCCTTTCGTTCCTACCTTGCTCATCTAGCAAGCTGGGCAGTCTTGAATAAACTCAAGGGGTGTCCAGCCCACCCCAGATTGACCTCAGATTGTCATCCTGCTTGTCACAAGCTGAACTCAGCTATCCAGCGCCCAAACACAGACACTCAAGAGCATGTGCAGGTCCCTTCTGATGCTGAAGCAGCATCCCTGGGGTTCCAATTAGTAGGACAAGGGATTCCTTCATGACTGCCTGTTGGGAAGGCTTGTTTACTTCATTTACACCCCAGTTTTCTCCCCATACGGGGGCCCAAAGTGCCTTACAACATTCTCTTATCTTATCCCCTAGCTCCCTTCCACCACTACATGGTAGGAACAAGATAAATTGTAAGCTGCTATACTTCTGTTCGGCCAGCTGTTGTTGGCTTTTCTGCTGCATAAGCAAGGTTGCAACATAGGTGGCTTAACGCAAGGTACATACAGCAGTCTGAACAAGGGCGCACACAGCCCTTTGCAGTACATCTTCAGGGGGTCTCAGGCTGTGACAGACTGTTCTTAACTGGAAGAGACCCCACAGAATTCGATTGCTACGTCAGAAATCCAGGGAAGAGTTTTCTGTTTTAAACATCTGAACAGATCCTTTGTATAGATCTGCAGGATTTCTCAATTCCACCTAGAGACTGTAATTCCTCCCCCCCCCCCCACAGCTCACTGCCAACTCGTATTTGTCATGGCTTCTGGTTTTGTTTCCTGTGAGCACAAACCAGGATTCCCTTTCTGCTGGGATAGTTTGCAAAAGAAACAGGAATGCAAAGAACACTGCCACTTCCCTTAGTCACTTTCCCACCATAAGCCAGTCCATGCAGACCTGCTGCCACCTGCAGCAAAATAACAGGCCCCCCCCAAAAAAAGTTCATTGTAGTCAAACATTAAAAGTTGTATCTTCAGACTTCATAGATCCTGGTTTTACCAGGATACATTTGTCCAATATTTATCTTCTAATACTTGAAGGTAAAAAAAAGAGGGCCACAAGCAGTACTCTGCTCAAAGCACACCTGGAAGCAATCTCTGGACACACACACAGGCCCAATCTGCATTTAGCATTTGCTCAGTTGTTTTACCAAACCCACACTGGAACAGAAAAAGATGCAGTTCAAAACCACATTCAACTACCCCAGGCCAACACTGTACTGACTGCAGCTTCACCGCCCCCCATGGCCATAAAACGGCCATAAATCTGTGCAGACAGCCACCATAAAACCAGAGATCATACAAAGTGAAAGTGGCATGCAGTCTGGACGCTGCCATAAAATGCGACAGTCAATCAAAGTGAAAGTGGCTTGCAATGTATATAGGAATTTCTGTTCCAGCATGGGTTTGGTATAACAGCGGAGCAAATGCTAGATGCAGACTGGGCCACAGTAAATGTGAAAAGCGTGCACCGGACCCACTTCTGGCTCAAGATGTGGAACCAGCCATTCTTCTGAAAGCAGCACTCTGGGTCAGGTAAGCCATGTAGGGATGCAAATGTTAGTTTGAGACAGACCTCCCGGTGCAAAGCGGCCATGTCTTTAGAATGGCTGCAGAGTCACCTACGACGCTTTCGCGGTGATCACACCTGGCAGCTCTGCACAGGCCCCTTTGCAGGGGCTGGAATTCCACTTGCACCCGGCTTTGGGCTGGAGGGGGAACTGGTCCCTTTCTAAAAAGACAGTCTCCTCCTGGGAGCAGAGGCGGCTGCTTCGGGTGGCTCAGGCAGCTAAAGCTCACGAGGGCAACTTCCTTAGGCTGGGGCTGATTTCGCAAAGGGAGCTGCGCCGCCCTCCCTTTGCCCTGTTTCCATTGGCCAATCTTCCTTAGGCTGGGGCGGATTTCGCACAGGGAGCCGCGCCGCCGTCGCGCCTCCCTTGGCCCCGTTTCCATTGGTCAATTTCCCACTCAAAGCCACGCGGTCGCATTTTGACCCGCGTCTTCGCCCGATTTTCCCCGCGGTTTCCTGATCCTCAAAAAACGGTGCTTGGACAGGAGACCTTGCTGGGAACCCCAGCCAAGTTCCACAGAAGAAAGGAGGGCTATAAAGAGATGTTATAAAGGCTTTATAGGCACGAATCTGGGGCTGCAATCACACACACACATGAAATAATCCACTTTCAGTGCACTTTCCAACTGG